CATGTGCACGCTCATAATTCCTTTGGCGGAGTCGTTTTTGCTGGCTGCGACTGTTGCTGCTCGGATCTGATCGGATCGTGTGCGAAGCACTGGGAGAGGTTATGTGGAACAAGTGCACACTGAATGCAAAGTGAATGGCTGGTCCGTCCCCCCTTGACCCCGGCCCCTTGCGGCATTCCTTTCGCCTGTGAAATATTTCATTTCATTTCATTTCGTTTCGTTTTGATTGACAACCAAATCGCATCGCATTTGCCATGACCAATTATTTGGCATTTACTGTTTCCTCCTCATCTCTGACAAATTGGATGTGCCCCCCGACTGTAGCCACACTGAGAGAGTGGCGTGGTGGCACTTGGCGGGTGGTAGGGAGGGAGTCGATGATAGTTTTTGCTCTCGCTGTGGATCTTAAATAGGAAACTCCAGTGCCACGCCTTATATACTATCTATGTACCATCTATTTATGCACATAGAACAGCGTCTTCTTGCGTATAGCGTGGGAGTGGGAGTGGGAGTGGGAAAGGCGACAGTTAAACTTTCCCCTCTTTTGTATCTTCTCATTCTTCGTTCGTTTCCTAGGCCAGAAATGAGAAGAAGAAATTTTACTTTTTTTTAATTGACATAATCACATCTGTGGGACTTTCACTGGTGATCCCCTTCCCCTCCCCACCCCTTACCTTCCCTCACCGATCAGCTAATATTTAGCCCCCCAGTTAGACCTTTCTGGGTTTATTTTTCCCCTTCACTCTCTAACGAAATCCAGCGCTGGCTCTATCGCTCCTCCCCCCGCTCCCCGCTCTCTGCTCGTGGGCTCCTTATGATGCAACTGCCATTCTCTTGAGCGTAATTAGAGGTCCAAACAAAACAAGATAAAGGAGAAGGCAGCCAAAGAGGAAGCAAAAATAATCACACGAGGAGGAAGAGAAGTCAGTGGAGCCAGTGGAGCCAGTGGAGCCAAAGAAGACGTAGAAGAAGTAAGCGTGCCTAATGATAACCTTTAGTCCAGTGTGGCTGCTTCTTCAACTGATTCTCCTCCTTCTCCTTCTCCTCCTCCTCCTCCTCCTCCTGCTTCTGGGTGTACTTCTTCGTTTTCCGCAAAACCGCTAAAAGAATGAACGCCCTTCCCTTAGATTCGATTCGATTCCATTTCGTTCCTCCTTTCTCCTCGCCAGCGAGCGTAACTGCAAATTTTCTTGATTGCCGGGTTCCAGCGCCTAACCCGAAGTACGCGCCACTGGCCACAGTGCCCAACGGGGCAGGGCAGCCACGGGGGGAGGGCGGTGCGGAAAGACCATTGACCATTGACCAGTTGAGGCGGCCACAGCTGATGGGGAGAGAGCAGCGCCGAGTCAGTGCCAGTCCATCGATCTGCTGCCATTCCGCTGTTCCCCTCCCCACCCATGCCCCACCTCACCCCATAATTAGCAAAGAGAGCACTCAAATGGGAAGAGAAACAGTTGGCATGGCGTGTGACCTTCAGGGAGCTGGCTGGCTGGCTGGCTAGCCCACCCAATAGCAATAGTCGGCAGCCCCCCCTTCCAGAGGGTTTCTGTAATTGCAGGAACCACCAAATCCCAGAAACGATCCACTCAAATTTGAAATGGTCCAAGGACGCGAATCAGGGCGGGGAATCATGGTCGGAGGCCAAAAATAAACCTCGCCAGGGACTATAAATAACAAGACTCGTGAGCCGGCAATCGCAGCACTCCTCCTCGAGAGGCAGCCCCACAATGACGTCAACAGCCGGATATGTCCAGGGCGATCGGCCTTATCGAGCCCCACAGATCGGTGATCGCTGATCGCTGATCGCTGCCATATACTCGTACACTCTGTGTACTCTGCGGATCATGTAATTGGCTCTGCTTCCCCTGTTTCCTTCTCGCTTCCAGTGCACTTCCTTTGGCCTACCTAGCCTGGCGGTGCGGCTGTCCAGGCCATACCCAGTCGGGACAACCTCTATAGGGTCTCGGGGAGCTAACCTCCCATTTGGATTGGGAATTTGAGAATGCATAAACACATCTTGGTATGTATTGTGTGTGCACACTGTACATATACTCGGAGAAAGTTAGCTCTGCAACGAATTTGGTACACCCTGTGCGCTGATCTGGTTGGAATCGAAACATATACATATACAGCATATATATGATATATGATATATATGAGCTGTGTAGTGGCTCCATAAAATGCGACATCTGTGCATAGTTATGCATTAGTTATGATCAGTGAATGCTGCCGATCGAAGAGTTTTCCACCATTTGTCCAACTATCGAATAGCTTGTGGCTGTAGGTTGCTCTGCCCCTTCTGAATGCACCGTGAGTGCAGGACAACTGCATTTGCCACGGCAGAGTGGGGCCAACAACAATATTTCAGATCGGCTCCCGTTGAGTCCCCGCTGCTGGCGAAGTTTGCCTCTTGGATTTGTTGCAGTTGCAGTTGCAGTTGCAATTTCTGTTGCTGGTTGTTCTCGTTACAGTTCCCGTCGTGCCCGTCGCAGGAGGATGCGATTTGTGGCATGCAGCAGGCATTCCGCTGTCTTTGCCACCTATTTCATACAGCTGAACATTTGTTGTCGCTGTCGCTGCTTCAGTTGTTGTTTCTCTTGCTGTTGCTGTTGCTGTTGCCCTTGTCGCTGTCTTTGTCGTTGTTGTCGATGTTGTCGATGTTGCAGATGTTGCAGATGTTGCAGATGTTGCTCTGTTCGCATTCTGTGTTGCAGCTCTGCTGTTGGCCCTGCAATCGGACACGCCGGTGCAACAACATCATTTGGCACTGGCCTTTGTCCCCTCTCCCTCTCCCTCCCCCTATCCCCTATCACATATCCCGATCATCGACTCTCAGCTTTCATCTCTGGGTTATCCTTCCCCGATTGCTAGCTCCTATCGGCCGGTCTCCTTACCCATGTGACCATTTGCCCATTTGCAGCTCGTGTTGGGCGACTGACCGTCAGCTAATATTGTGGGTAATAGCCACGTTCCGGGCTCTATAATCACAGCAGGAAAAGGCACTCGTATGCCTGAAATAATTGCCCTGAAAGAGAAGACTCCAGGTTTCGGTTTCGGTTACTGTTCTGTTCTGTTCTCCTCTGTTCTCTTCTGTTTCGCTTCGTTCTGTACAATTTTCGCAATACAAATTGAATTGAATATGTAAATATAATTGCTGCGGGGCTGGAACTAGCTGCACCACCTGCCCCGTCCCTCCCCTCTCCATTGAATTTCGTTTAAAAGCCCATAAATTGCGTCTTAAATGCTGCTCTAAGCACATACAAAAATACATACATACATATATACAGGCATACATACATACATACGTATATGTATGTACATACATACATAACATATACATACATATATGGCATTAGCTTCCGCAAGAGTTTGGTTTGTCCATTTGAGGATGGGCCCCGGGCCAGGGCCAGGGCTAGGGACAGCCAGAAATGAATGCAAATGAATGCAGTTAAATAATCCATGACTGGGGATGAATGAATGAATGAATGAGTCTATGGTGTATCTGGAATGGTCTATGGTCGAGTGTTTGTACAAATAATTCGGCGAATTGGTGTACGATTGATGACACCCGCTGGAGATGCATATCCACTCGAAGGAAGCGATCCTTCCTTCCTTCCTTCCTTCCTTCCTTCCTTCATTCCTTCCGCTTGGTGCGCTGATGCTCTTTCTTTGGTTCAATCTCTCTTTTCTATCGCCCAATCCGAGAAGTGGTTGAGTGACTAAATACTTGTCCGACTGGGAGATTGGCCGCATCAGCACTTGCTTCGTGTATGCACTGCTCTCCATCCTGTTACCAGCTCCATGCACCGCTCATTTACTTCCTTCGGGTGTTCCCTCCAATCAACGCAATCGATTTGATTTCCCTTTCCGCGTGTGACCACCCACCCACTTGCACATGGCCACATGGGCACATGGGACCACATCCCTGCCTCTCATCCCTCTTGCGGACAGCGGGGTCAGCCTGCTGAACCGTCATGCGCACTGAGGTCAATTGGATGAATGGGTTGCTTGGCTTGGCTTGGGATGGGATGGGATGGGATGGCTATCCACAGAAAGCAATTTGCTACCCGTTCGAATGGAAACCACAGGAATGCCAAAAAGTTGTTTGTGCTGCCGGAGATTGCGACTGGAATTGGAAGGAGATTGGGAACGGAGCGGGACGGTGCGGTGCGGGGCAGAGAACTGGGGACTACGAGCTGCGGGATGGCTATCCTATCGCTGGGGAGACATTAGAATTTCTAACCGCAGATCGTCAACAAAAGTTCTCCTCTCCCAGCCCATTCCAGCCAGCGAGCTCATTAAAGTCTCACCAGTTGCATTCACTCAGCCAGTCGATGTGGCTGTCGATGTGGCTGTGGCTGTCGATGTGGGAAGATGTCTTTTGGGAGCCAACGAACCTAGCTGACCACAGGTAATGGGAATCCCTGCCGTCACTGCGACTGTGGGGTATTCTGGTCATGCCACAGATTTTATTGGTTCGGTGGTTCGGTGGTTCGGTGGTACGGCGTTTAGTTAAGCGTGTAATGGGCCGAGCCGACAGCGGAAGTAGCAACTTGTGCAGCGCGCAGCAGCTGGATGCAACTGTATCGTCTTCGTGGCCCGCTTCCTCTTTAGTGCAGCCCCTCCCACTGGCTACTCTTGCGCCTCCTCTCTCTCGGCCACCTTTCAAATGGAGGCTGTCAGCAGTCGCGATCAGAGAGCGGAACGACAGGGAAGGCAAGGCAAGGCAAGGCAAGGGGGAGAGGGCACCTCAACTGGCTGGGAACTGCAGAGAGTTGCCTCGCCTCGCCTCTTAAGCACATTCACTCATCCCTATCCTCCCTATCCATATATCGTCAAGGAATTAACTGGGACTCACCCAACGGAAGCTCCAGCTGCAGCTCCTCCTTCCCCTCCATTGGTTCATTCCGGTTATGGAATGGATTCCCTTTCCTTTCCCTATCCCTATTGAACCGAGTCTGAAACTAACCCAAGGTTCCAACCTTTCCAACCTCTTGCAGATGGCAATGCAGTCAGGATCGAGCAGCAGTATCAGCGGGAGGGCCGCTCGCAGCACACACACGATCTCCATGGGTCTGATGATGGTCTCGGCCATGGCCGTGCTCCTGGTGGCGCTGCCCGGCGGCGCGGTGGAGGCCCGCATGGCGTTCGAGAAGCTGACAGACTTTGACTTTCCGGGCAACACGTACTACAGCGTGAAGAACCTGTCGCTGTACGAGTGCCAGGGCTGGTGCCGCGAGGAGGCCGACTGCCAGGCGGCCGCATTCAGCTTCGTTGTGAATCCGCTGTCACCCTCGCAGGAGACGCACTGCCAGCTGCAGAACGACTCCTCGGCGGCCAACCCCTCGGCGGCGCCCCAGCGGTCGGCCAACATGTACTACATGGTGAAGCTGCAGCTGCGCAGCGAGAACGTGTGCCACAGGCCGTGGTCGTTCGAGCGGGTGCCCAACAAGGTGATCCGCGGACTGGACAACGCCCTCATCTACACCAGCACCAAGGAGGCCTGCCTGTCCGCCTGCCTCAACGAGAAGCGCTTCGTGTGCCGCTCCGTGGAGTACGACTACAACAACATGAAGTGCGTGCTGAGCGACTCGGACCGACGCAGCTCCGGCCAGTTCGTCCAGCTGGTGGACGCCCAGGGCACCGATTACTTCGAGAACCTCTGCCTGAAGCCGGCCCAGGCCTGCAAGAACACGCGCTCCTTCGCCAACGCCCAGCGCATGGGTGTCTCCGAGGAGAAGGTGGCCCAGTACGTCGGCCTCCACTACTACACGGACAAGGAGTTGCAGGTGACCTCCGAGTCGGCCTGCCGGCTGGCCTGCGAGATCGAGTCCGAGTTCCTGTGCCGCTCCTTCCTCTACCTGGGCCAGCCGCAGGGCGCCCAGTACAACTGCCGGCTGTACCACCTCGACCACAAGACCCTGCCCGACGGCCCCTCCACCTACCTCAACCACGAGCGCCCCCTCATCGACCACGGCGAGCCCATCGGCCAGTACTTTGAGAACCAGTGCGAGAAGTCCGCCTCCGGGCCCGGCTCTCCCCCAGGCACCCTCGACAAGATCGACACGCTGCCCGTCAGCCTGGACACCATCGAGGACCCCAATCTCACCAACCTCACCCGCAACGATGTCAACTGCGACAAGACTGGCACTTGCTACGATGGTGAGTGATCTCTCCATCCCTCCATCCCTCCATCCCTCTGGATCCTCAGCTGATTTCCCTCTTCAATTTCTCCCCTTCAGTTTCTGTGCACTGCAAGGACACGAGGATCGCGGTCCAGGTGCGAACCAACAAGCCCTTCAACGGTCGCATCTACGCTTTGGGACGCTCCGAGACCTGCAACATCGATGTGATCAACTCGGACGCCTTCCGCCTGGATCTGACCATGATCGGACAGGACTGCAACACTCAGAGCGTGGTAAGTGATTCTGCAGGAGCCCGCAACCCGGGAACCCTTTACTTTTGTATCTAAATGGCAATAAGCAAACCCTCATCTCCATTTGCCATCTGCCATCTGCATCAGACTGGCGTCTATTCGAACACGGTGGTGCTGCAGCACCATAGCGTGGTGATGACCAAGGCGGACAAGATCTACAAGGTGAAGTGCACATACGACATGAGCTCGAAGAACATCACCTTCGGCATGATGCCGATCCGCGACCCGGACATGATCCACATCAACTCGTCGCCGGAGGCACCGCCACCAAGGATCCGCATCCTGGACACGCGCCAACGCGAGGTGGAGACAGTGCGCATTGGAGACCGCCTCAACTTCCGCATCGAGATACCCGAAGACAGTGAGTATACGCCACTGGAGGTGGGTGGGAAACGAATTCTAATGCCTGCTCCTCTGCAGCTCCCTACGGCATCTTCGCCCGCTCGTGTGTGGCCATGGCCAAGGATGCACGCACCAGCTTCAAGATCATCGACGACGACGGCTGCCCCACTGATCCCACCATCTTCCCAGGATTCACAGCCGACGGCAATGCCCTGCAATCCACCTACGAGGCTTTTCGCTTCACCGAGAGCTACGGCGTCATCTTCCAGTGCAACGTCAAGTACTGCCTCGGCCCCTGTGAGCCGGCCGTCTGTGAATGGAACATGGAGTCCTTCGAGTCGCTGGGCAGGAGGCGTCGTCGCTCGATCGATAAGTGAGTCTACTACCATCCACAATCACTGCACATTGCAGGCATGTCTGACTCGGACTCTGACTCTTCTCATCTTCTTTTCCTTCTCTCCTCAGCAATGATTCCAAGAACACCACCATGAACATCTCGCAGGAGATTCTGGTCCTGGACTTTGGCGATGAGAAACGCGAATTCTTCAAGGCAGATCCCAGCACAGACTTTGCCAAAGGTAAGCCGCAAGCCCGCCTCCCCTCAAACTGCAAGGAAAGTTAACCTCAATGCCCTTTCGTTTCGTCCCGTTTCTGCCCCCACACAGACAAGACTGTGACCATCATCGAGCCCTGCCCCACGAAGACGTCGGTGCTGGCGCTGGCTGTGACCTGTGCGCTGATGATCCTCCTCTACATCTCCACCCTGTTCTGCTACTACATGAAGAAGTGGATGCAGCCCCACAAGATCGTAGCATAAGTCTAAGAGTCTTCAGACGCAGAACGAAAGAAAGCAAGGAAGGGAAACTAAAACTAAAACTATAACTACAACAAATGCAGAAAGAGTTAAAAGTAAAAACGAAAATGAAAATGAAAGAACGAAAAGAAAACAAAAACAAAATACACAGTAAAAATTGTCACTCACACAACACACTCGGACACTCGGTCTCTCCCTCTCACACACAACAGAACACATACATATCACACCTCTATAACTGTGCAAGTCTAGCTATCGCTTTGTCTCTCTCTTGCCCAAGCTGTCTCTGCCCGCTCTTTTGCTGTAAGTGAAGCTTAAGAGCAGAACAGAGTTCACCATTAGACACCACACTCGCACGCACACACACACACACACACCGCCCACCCACCACACACCGCTCACCACATCACCCAATGACAACCGTATAATTTTTTGTTTTTTTTTTTAATTGATATACACATTAATATACTTAATATACAATTTATTTATTTATATTTATTTAGACTTAGGGCGTGAGATGTTTGCCTATAGAAAAAAACTAAAACGAAAAGAAAAGAAAAGAAAAGAAGAGAAAAATTTTCATCACACAAAAAACTAAGAATGAAACGAAAGCGAGGAAAAGCTAGAGAAGAAGGAGAAGCAAAGAGAACTTTGCTGTGCACATTTCAAATATGCGAATAGTATGAAAATAAAACAAAAAAAAATTAAGAAAAAGCTGCGAGCGCGTACTTTCTATAAAGTTACGAAAGGGCGAATCCCAGAACATCGCGAGGGCCCGCACGAGTGCGAGAGAGAGAAGCGATGGGATAGAGGCCATTTTGTAACTTCTATAGAGACTGCGGCCGCCGAAGCGCACATTCGCACTCACTCACACACCTACATATTTCAGCACTCACATTCATAAACAACACACACACACACACCTTCACACCCAACACACGCACTCACATTTATTTAATTTTAAAAGGTACGCAATAAACAGCAAACAAAAGCAATCAAGAAACGAAACTAAGAACGCCGGTCAAAGCAAAAGGAAAATAAGAACAAGAAACGTAATTTCATTAGAAACAAAGTGAAATTGTGCTTAATTGTATTGCATTTATTTAATTTAAATCTATTTATGATAATAAAGAACGATAATGACAAGGCAACCGTGTTTCCTTCCCCCGTTGGCAGTTGGCATGTGATAAAGGCGGAAGGACAGAATAGGATAATCCTATACGGATCAACCGTGTGGCCACCAGCAAGGAAGGTTCCCTCATACAGCATTGTATAAATAAGTTCGCTTCCGATGCTGTGCCCTAAAGGGTTGCATGCTGCCTCCGGACGGTATCTGAAAAGTTATTTATACCTCCAGCTCGGCATAGATTTATAAAGCAGATATCATCCGAGGTCCCGCAATGTTAAACGTCGGACAATGAAGGGACTTTAATTGCAAGGACTCGGACTCCCGCTATAATCGCACTTTTAAATTTTCGAAATCAACTTGGTGTTGATTTGGTGATTCACGCATTATATTCTCGGATGAGGCCAAATTTAATCTCATTGGATCCGATGCTACCGCACAGTTCGCCGTAAAACAGGAGCACAAAATTCCGAGATCTGCTGTTTTGCCACAGTAATAAATTTCCTTGTATTATAATGTGGGGATGCAATCTAAATATAAACGGAACCGCTTTTAATATTTCAGGGTATGCTCGATGCAAAAAAGTATGCAACGAATATTCTCACTGGAGCCTATATACATATACAATATAACAATTACTGTATATATGTATAATACGAGAATATACAATAATGCGTGACCACTCGGAATAAACACAATTTTATTTTTCCTTCGAGCAATTTAAGGGAGCTTTTTTCATAGGAGGCAAAACAATTTCGCCTTTGAATTCGACATCAGCAATCTCGTGCCATTACACAGCCGGGATGGGTTCAAATTTCATAATAAATAGCCGGAGATCCAACTTTAAGTCGTAGAAGGTTGGGTGGCATGCATGGCAAATACAGTGAGTGCAAAACTCTGTTTAATGATTTACAGCTCGTTCTCATCGCAAACTGTGTCGATCGATTTGTATGATTGGTAAACATCATTCACCATTTCACAATGGGCAGACTTGCCTCCGAGTTACCTCGACTTCGGTCGAGCAGCCCTATAAACCTAACCTAACTTATCATTCACCTGGCACCTTGATGTTTAAATTGATGACGTATTGAGCCTTCGGCGATTTCAGCTCGCTAAATTTATATCTTTGAACGAATCTATTTATTTTCATGAAACAAACTGCATTTAAAAAGGTGCTACAATGTCTGGAATCCTTTCAAAAAATAGTCAAAGTTGATCTTTGATTCCGGTGCATATTTGCATGTTTGCGGTGCATTCAATGCTAAACTTTGGTTTTTTACATCGATAAAGAAGGATTAATGGTAATTTTCACTACAAAAAATAATTTTAAGCATTCTTTTTTATCTAATATAATTTTAAAACATATAAATTTAGTCATATACACTGAGAGAAATATCTCATATGCTTAAGGCAAAGGAACAAATAAATGTTTTCCGATTTATTTTGAAATCTCACATGTCTTCATGTAAATTTTTATTTACATGACTTCATTATTGGTTGTTTTTGCACTTTAGCTTGACTTTAAAAAAATATATCCCCAAATTTTCTCGAGATGTTTTTTTTCGCTTTTTTAATTTTTTTGATTTGTTTGGCTTCTAGATCGATTTTTCTTACGCCACCTCGCAGGAAAACCGGTTAAAATACGAGTTTGTATGTGATTTTTTACCAGCGACAGCCATTTTTTTTTAAATACTTGAGAAATATTGTCAAATAAATAAATTGCGATTTAAGCTTCTTGGAATCGAACGTTGGAGTTACTTGGCAATGAAGACTACAATTTGCGAGTATTGTAGTATTCATTGCCACGTAACTCCAACAAGTTCGATACTCCAAGAAGCTTAAATAGCTCGATAATTACAAGAATAGTCACCATATTCCGTATAAACGGGCAACATTTTTATTGTCATGATTTTATCGGGTTTGCAAAAATTTAAAGTCTAGGTTCGGGACGGACAGTGCATAAATATATTTAGTGGGTTGGTACGTCATAAATATAAGGATAGTGGATGTTCCAAAACCCACTATGGAATGGATAGTGCTTCGGAACTCCCGGTTAGCGGCAAGCTCGTCTTCTTTTTGGGCAGTAGATATTCGACGTGAGCTTGGTGTGAGCTGGTTATAATCTATGGGGATCAGCGGAATTAATCATGGTGCCAGCATGTTGGCTGCCTCTCCAACTCACTTACAAGAGACATGGGGAATGCTTGATCCGCTCGTCAATTGAGACGAGAAGGCGCAGCTCGCTGGCTGGGGAGATGGAATTTCCACTCGGAAGAATCCTAAATAAACTAAAAGACTGGAGGTACATGGATGATATTGCGATCCTTAACATAAATAAAAACTACATCGAGTACCATGAGAGGATATCCCGGACACCAGGATACATTCGATACAATCGGATGGTTGGGTGTCGGTGGTCTAAATTAAGCTGCTGGGTTGCCAGTGGACCGGACGGAGGTCATCTCAGCTTGAGAGGCTTCACTTGGGCCAGTCCGTGTTGGGGCACACGGGACGTGGCCGCCGCCACGCAGGTATCCCTGAGAGACTTGCCCGCTGGCCTCTTGGTGCACTCGTCGAAGTAGCACTTCTCCACGTGGTGCAGGAACTCGACGAGCAGCTTATCATTGCCTCCGTTGGGCCCCACGGAGTACTCGCACTCGAAATTGTGCTGCTTCAGATCACGCACACAGCAGTCGAGGAACTCCGAATTGGCCGAATACCAGTCGTTATGGCGCTCCAGAGGAATGCCCAATCGCGCACGCACCACCCCCGTCACCCACGTGTCGTCGATCCAGAAGATGGGCACCCGCTGCGCCTCCGCCACGAGCCGGGTGGCGGTCGCCACGTTGGTGATGTAGAGCCAGCCGGAGAGGTAGGCCGGGTAGAGGGCGTGCGGGTACTCCTGTCGCGTCACGTACCACTTGTTGGCCTGCAGGCGAATGGGCGGCTTTGCGTCCAGCACATAGCCGGCCAGCAGCGTGCTCGAGGTGGCCAGCGTAGGCTGGCCCACCTCCAAAGACTCTAGGTAGCGGCGCAGGTGAAATACATCGTAGATTATGTCGTCGTCCAGCTTAATGATAAACTTGGTGCGTCCCTCGCACTCGCCAGCCGCCCAGCGCAGCCCCATTACATGCTTGTAGCTTAGATTGCGGTAGTCCTCAACGAAGTTCCCCTGCAGCAGGTCCCCAAAGCGGGCCTGCTCACTGATCACCTGCGCCTGGGTTAGGAAACGCTCGCTGGGCGGCAGGGCAGCCAGCAGGAACACCCGCTGCAACCCCATCTCGGCCAGCTTGCTCTGTGCTATGGCCTGACGGTGAGCGGCGCGCAGGGAGTCGTGGCCTGCATAGGAGGTGACAATTAGCACAGCTACAGACGAGAACAGACACAAGATGACACATGTTAGGTGACTCCGAAAGACTGTAACACTCACCCAGAAGCTCTTTGTCAGCACGGCGACAAACATCGCTGGCCAGCAGATAATCAAAGTCGGTGAGGTTCAACAGAGGTCCGGCTGGGGGCCGCAGCCTGGGCGCCGATGTGGTGTCGTCGGGCAGCTGGAGCAGGAATTCATCGCTGGCGGCGGGCACGGAGGATGAGGAGTCGCGCAGATGGTTCGAAATGTAGCTGAAGCACAGCAGAACGATGATGAGTAGCGACAAAACAATTGGAAGCAATCTGCGGCCGCGCATGCGCATCTTCTGACATTCTCTTGTTGTTCCCCGTACTCTGTGTTTGTTTTTGTTTTTTTGTTTGTGTGTGGGGTTGGGTGTGTGTGTTTTCGTGTTTTTGGTCACGTGTGGGAGTGTGGCATGTGGGTGTAAAGTGCATTCATGTAAACGAACACGGCCAATAATTCCTTTTTTATTTGTTATAATTGTACTGGACTGCAACGGAACCGTGAGAAAACGCAAATAAATGCACTAGCGCCTCACAGACATCCCTGTATCAGCATTCGCAGAAAATACCAGTTTTGGTATCCGCTTTCAATATATCGATAGGTCTAGTTCAATGTTATAAATTCTAAAAATGTATTGTACATTTGTTGATTCAATTATTCTTTTAAAGACTGGCCCACACAGGGCAGTATTTTTAATATAAAAATCAATGACTCAACTTACTTATCGCTAGCCAGAAACAAAGGAAACGAAGCAACAGTTATACGTCAAGAATATAATTCAAAAATTCGAAAACTGCGCATGCAGATGGGACACAGTCACTTACTCTCTACGTAAGGACACGTGTCCAGGACTCTTTCTTTATAGAACATTATTAGACCAAGACACTGCCTTCAAATACCTAGTCTTAGCTATTGGAAATTATCTCAATAATTTCCAAGTACTAGCACTAACCATACTGTATGGTCAGTGGTACTAGCCTTAAGCCTAGTACTCAGATCAAAGTTAGTGGCTTGATGACTTGATTTTAAATTGGTTAAAATTTCCATCCCCATAGATACAAATTAAAAAATATATGTAACCGCCATAACGGTTTTATCGGTTGCCCGAACAAGTAATCGCAATCGCATCATTTTTTGTAATACCAGTGTAATACCAGTGTACTAGACTACTAGCTAACTGGTAGGTTTGGGAAAATCAAACTGTGCGAAGGAGAGCTTAGACTGTGCTTTGTAGTCTAACTGGTAGCAGCGTAACGGCAAAATTGTACTTCCAAAGTACAATCAAGTTTGACTCAACAGCTGTGCGCGTAGGTTAACCAAAAAACTACTAAAGTAAAACTAAACGAGCGGATTTCGACCATAAAGCACATGATTTACCACATTGAAAATCAATATGATCGACTTTAACACATAAAAACATGTTATTTCAGAAAGGATTGTTTCAAACACATCATTGGTGGTTCTTAAAGATACTATTTCAGACTTTTTAGCGCCAAGAACAGAAATAGCATAAGAGTCCAAATGGAAATGAGGTACCGCAGAAAGCTGACGCTCTACCTAATATGTCTTACCATGCGTTCATGTACACATTTGGCTCAAGGTGATGGAGAGAGGGTGGAAAAGTCTTAAGCCACTGAAGAGCGGGATAGGATGGCCATACCTTGTATTGTTGTACCTTGGGCCGTACCTTATTAATATTTCTACCATGAGGCGCAGCCAACTGCGGGCATAAAACACAAAAAAGTATGTGCGTGCGTGCGTCTCTCTGTCGGTGGGAGTGTGTTCGTTCGTGTGCGTGCGTGCGTGTGTGTGTGTGTGTTTGAGTGTGAGTGCTTTTCTTTATAATTTTTTAATAATTATTTTAATTGTGCTTCAATGTGGCAGACAAATGATTGAAATAGCTGAAATCGAAACAGAGACAAGTGGCCATTGATGGGTTAATAGTGTGAGTTTCGCGAATTGATTGTCGCCGTCGATGTGTGGTAGTAAAAACCAAGCAGCGAAAAATCTGCATCCACAGAGGAAAGGAAGCAAGACCGCTGGGTGGTAGAGCATGTTGTTGGACTTGGAGCATTGAACAATTTCAGCTGAAAATTATAAATCAAAGTCATATTCAAGTTGGAACTGCGCTCAAAAAGAGCAGCAGTCGAAATAGCAGCAGCAGCAGACGAAGCAAAAGCAGTAGTCTAACCAGCAGCAGCAGCAGCGCCAGCAGCAGCACACAAGAGAAGAGAAAAAATATCAACGTGAGCTAATCAGCATAGCGATTTGTACAAAACAGTCTTCTCTTTCCTAAAATGTTGGAAAACTGTTGGAAACATTTTCAATAAATATAATTCGAAGGCTGGACCTTTATTTATGTAGTGAACGATTAAAACGTCGCGTGTTTGCCCCCCTACACCAACCATTCCATGCCCCTCGCGGAGTAACTCCCCTCATGCTTTGAAAGCTAACTGTGGCATTTGGTCACAAAAACGCAGTCAACGTCTGCGCTCGCTTCGCCTCGCCTCGGTCTCGGTCGCTGCCTCGGTTGGCGCTGTTTATTTGTTGTTGGTTTTTCTCTCCATTGTGACGGTGGATAAATAGAAGGAGGGCAAGGAAGGAGGCACCTTCCATACGACTATAATTTCCTTTTCATTGCAATTTGCATTCTTATTTTCGGCTCGCGTAAAAGTGATAGGAATACAAAAAATTAAAAAATCTTGGTAAGCTCTTGAGGCGATGGCAAAATAGATAAATTCGACAGCTCTGCTCACGCTGCGTCGCGTCGCGCTGCTCTGCCCGGTTCGGCTTCGGGTTCGGTTCACCTCGGAGCAAAAGCATAGACATAGGCAGAGGCAGCGCCATAGGCAATCTTATCGCTGGAGAAGCCAGCCCACACTAGTACCGTACCCCCGAGTACCATATTGATGTGGATGTGGATGTCGATGCGATGTTAATGCTATGGTGATGATGATGTGATGGCTTCTCTTCGCCTGGCCAGCGCTGTTCGCAGGGAGGTTCTGCGAAGTGACGCTGCCCGTGGCGCTGCTGCTGCCGAAGGCTGCGTGGTGAAAATTAATATTGATTCCGATTCCATATTTTGCAACAGCAGCAGCAGAAGTAGCCGCACCAGCAGTGCCACTATTGAATTCAGAAGCGGACAAAAGGAATCCACGGAAGGTTAATCAATGTGAAGAGAGAGAAGAAAGAGCAGAACGTACAATTCAACAAGGAGAAAAATCTGAGAGCACAGGAGGCATAGAAAGGGGAGCTTGCTCCTCACTTAAAGAGAGGGACACAGAAGAGCAGTGCTCCACTTTCGCCCTTGAAGATGACGGACTTTGTGGAGCTGCTTAACAGCATGTCCAGCACCTTCAACAGCGACTGCGCCACCACTACCGCGGAGGGGGGCACGCTGCTCAATCTGGACCTGGCCGAAGACAAGACGCTCAAGTGGCGCAATCTGGCCAACAATCAGTTTGCCTGCAAGGACAAGGACAAGAAGCAGAGCCGTGCCTGCGAAGAGTTGGAGGTGGAGGGGGAGGAGCAGGCCAAGCAGAAGAGTAACCCAGAGGAGGAGCCGCAGCCAAAGCAAAAGAAAAGTGCGGAGGAGGAAAAGAAGCCGAGGAAAGTGGCGGCCACTTCGGCAGCGCAACTGGTTCCGACCGAGGAAATTGAGGAAAACATCAAGGAACTGCTGGCGGATGTGGTTGACGCCGCGGCCGTGAAGCTGGAGGAAGAAGAAGCTGCAGCAGCGGTAGAGGCTGCAGCAGCGGCACCACCTGAAGGGCTGCAGAATGCAGATGAAGCGTCAGCAGAGAAGGATGCGCCAGCTAAAGAGGAGGAAGACGAAATAAAAGAATCAGAGTCGGCAGAAACCGAAACAGAAGCAGAGACGGAGGCAGAGGCAGTGACGGAGGCAGAGGCAGAGACGGAGGCAGAAGCAGCAGAAAAGACTAGAGAAGAGGAGAAACCCGCCACAGCTCCCGCCGAAGCAGCTTCGTCAGCCGAGGGCGACGAGCGCAGTGCCGAAGTGAAATGCATTGGTAATGACGCTGGTGGAGAGGCGGCAGCTGCGGGGCAGGAGCCGCCCGCCAATGGCAGCGATGACAACGCCGCAGCCACAACAGAAGAGGCAACAAGCAGCGGGGCAGCCGACGTGAGCCTAATTACGGTAAAAGTGGAAAGGGAGCCAGGGAGCACGGATGCGGAAGGCATCAAGACTGAGACGGCGAGGGAGAGGGATCAACCTCTGCCAGAGCGGAGGGCAGCAGCGCCACCAAAGCAGAAGGAGCTGGAAGAAACAGCAGGAGAAGCAGCGACAGAATCCCCATCACAACCAGAAACGTCAGCTACAGCCACAGCGACAGCATCAGCATCATCTCCGACTCCGACTCCGACTCCAACTCTAACTCCAACTCCGACTTCGACTCCGGCTCCACTTGTTGTCAATTCTGCCAGCGTTGGCGTAGATGTCGACTGCTGCGCTGACGCAACAGATTCGAATTTGATGAATGCTGCTACTGCTGGCAGCAACAGCAACAGCAGCAGCGACCAGGCAGAAGCAACAGCAGAACCACCAGCAGCCGCGGCGAGTGCTGATAAAAATGTACGTATGTATAAATGTACGTGTGTGTGTGAGTGTGTTGGATTCAGAATATGAGTGTGTGTGTGTGTCTTCCTCAAACCCGAGCCTTAGCCTGTGTGTGCTCCGCTCCATTTATTTGATTCACTTTCCGTTTTACGGTTATTTCATCGATGTTCCATCGTGGGGGGTAGCTGACGGTTGGCCATCAGGTGCAGCAGGAAGTGGGCATTCCCCGTGGGATGATAGAGGGGGCTCCCCGTGTTGTGTTTCCATGTAGCAGAGGAGGGGATGCAACTGTACATGTGTCTGTGCGCGCACTGTCTGTGTATCTGATTGGATTGTTGCGTTATCAGGGAGCTAGCTCCAACAAATGTCCGATGCAAGAAAAAAGAAAAGCTTTCACAGCCCCAGCGAGCTTAAAGCTCTTTGATCGCAGCGCACATTACTAGATCTACAACACGACGCACAAATTACAGCTAAGATACATACATAAGTACACATGTATGTATGTTTGTATGTATGGATGTATGCATGTACGACCTTAAGAAACTGATTCTACCAGAGATTAGGAATTTTCAACCCCCCCCCAGAGGGATAACGATATCCTCCATTAAATACTACCACAACAGTTCAAGGATCAGGAATCTATAATGCTTCACAGACGATGGTATTACAATTCGATATACATATGTATATATTGGATGTACGTATGTACGTATGTATGTATTGGCCCGGCCCACTCCTCCCTGCCCCTATCTGTCTGTTTGGCTGGAGCCGTTACCGGGGCAACCATGAAAGCCAAGGGCTACCATTCCCTCCTAGACTCCTAGACTCCGTTCAGGACGATTAAGTGCGTGCTCGAATGAATTAGGTGCTCGAGGATTAAATGAGTCCTTATCTACATCCCTTTTGCAGGAACAAGCTTCGCCTGGCAGTGCGCGGCGCTCGCGTCGCACTCCTCGACCCACAGACAGCCACATCCCCATCTCCATCCCCAGCAACAGCAGGGGCACACCCACTTCCACTCCCACTCCCACTTCTGCTACCGCTGAGGAGCCACAGGCTGCTGCTGAGTGTGCTCCGCCCACTGAGACAGAGGCGGAGCCAGAAGTTGCACATAATGTCCAGGAAAGTCCAACTCTGGAGGAGAGCAGCGAGGCGGGCAACGTGAAGAAGGAGCCAGAAAAGCAGACGCAAGCGGAGGATGCCTCAGGCGGCGTGGCCAGTACCAGATCCCCGCCAGCACCTAAGCGGGGACGAGGTCGTGCAAAGAAGATCAAAACCGATGCAGAGTTTGATGCGGCCCCATCCAGCGAGACGCCCCCACTCATCGAGGAGCCAGTCGTCGAGCGGAAGCCGGGCCGCAAGCGGAGGCTGCCCGAGGAGCAGCAGGATCAGCCCCTGAACGAGCTAGTGGTGGTGAAGTCGGAGCAGGAGGAGACAGGGGAAACGGCTGCTCCAAGCGCTGATGCCAAGCGGATGCGACGCAGCGTCCGCCTGGGCAACCGCCATCCCGCGGACGGTTCCGTCTGGGAGGAGGTCAAGACAGAGGCTCTGCCCTCGACGACCGACCTGCTACTGCCAGAGCTGGTCGGGACTGCGGGCGCCGCTGCCGTGCTGGACGAGAAGACGCCGCCCAAGAAGCGCGGACGGAAGGCCAAGATACCGCCGGTGGCCAAAACGGAGCCGCACTCCTCGGCATCCGCATCAGGAAGCGCCAACTCCAGCATGTCTCTTCCCCTGATAAATGGGAACAAGCGGACCGTGCCCTCGACCCATGGGGCAGGCATGGGGATGGCCTCTACTGAGGTACAGCTGCCGAAGCGCTCCAAGCGACGGATTAAGCCCACGACGAAGATTCTGGAAAATGACGAGCTGCGCTGTGAGTTCGAGACAAAGCACATCGAACGCATGACCCACTGGGAGACAGCGGCTGAGGGCGATTCTCACTTCGAAACGCCGCAGCCGTCCGGCAGCGGGGGAGGCGGCGGCGGCGGATCCAACTCCTCCACGTCTCGCCAGAAGAGCGACAAGTCGGATGGCAGCGGCTTCGATGGGGGCCAGCATCCGGCCGGGACGAGTGCCATCAAGAAGCGCCTGTTCTCCAAGTCGCTGCGCGACATTGAGAACTCGGGCGCAGCCCTGCTGGCCAAAAGCCGCGTGAAGCCCAGCCCGGACGTTGATCAGTTCCTCTGCGACATCAAGGCAGCCAGGTTGACCGCCAACCGCTCCCCGGAGGAGCGCAAGCTGAACAAGAAGCAGCAGCGCAAGCTGGCCAAGCAGAAGGAGAAGCACCTGAAGCACCTCGGCCTCAAGCGCAACAACAGCGAGGAGGCCTCTGACAACGACAGCTCCAACACGGACAACGAGTTCGTGCCCACCACCCGCGTACAGGTGGGCAAGCCGAGTGTCACCTTGCGTCTCCGCAATGCCGCCGCCAAGGAGCAGCTGCCCACGACCTCAGCCGCTGCAGCAGCTGCAGCTGCATCAGCGGCCGGGACAGGGACAGGTGCCGTGGCTCCATTGAAATCCCATCCTCCCCAGGCCGCAGCGAAGTTGACACGACGCGTGGCCGTTCGTGGAGGGGCTGGAGCGGGACGGGACAGGCACAGTCACAGGCAGTAGGAAGATCCGCAGCCCTGGACGCTGAACAGCTCCACTCGCTGAACAGGTCCATTCTGGCGGATGTGCCCGCATCCCTAGACGATGCCGGTACCGATGCTATTCCCACCACCTCCAAGCTGGCACTGGCCAAGTGCCTCTGCCTGTGCCAGAAGAGCTCTCAGTACTACGCCCGAAACGCACCGGACTCCTCCTACTGCTGTGCCATCGATAATGTGGACGAGCAGAAGATCGGCTGCTGCAACGAGCTCCCTGCCGAGGTGCACAACCTGCTCCGTCCCAGCCAGCGAGTTGGCTACATGATCCTCTGCGACGAGCACAAGAAGCGCCTTTATGCCCACAATTGCTGCGCCGGCTGCGGCATCTTTTGTACGCAGGTGAGTGACAAAACAATGCCGGGACATCCGCATCATCCCAATCAACTCCTAATCGAATCCACATCCACATTTCAGGGAAAGTTTGTACTGTGCAAGCAGCAGCATTTCTTTCATCCGGACTGCGCCCAGCGCTTCATCCTCAACAGTCCCTACGATGACCAGCAGCAGCCGGGCGGATCAGGATCATTGCCAGGCAGCAAGTTTAGCAGCCCCATGCTTGTGCTGAAGTGCCCGCACTGCGGCCTGGACACGCCCGAACGCACCTCCACGGTTACCATGAAGTGTCAGACCCTGCCCGTCTTTCTGGCCACCCAAAAGTACAAGATGTGAGTGGATTGGTGGAGTGGAGAGCAGAGCAGAGCAGGCAGGGCTCATCTTTCTTGTTTTCTTCTTCTTTCAGCAAACCGGCTAAGCTGACCACCTCCTCGCATCTGGCCCAGTTTGCGGGACCCGGCAAGGCCAGCGCCAAGCCCAAGGGAAGGGCTTCTTCCGCTGCATCAGCCTCCGCCTCCGGGTCGAAAGCGAACGGAACGCCGCGCGGCGTCAAGGGTCAAAGTCAAAGTCAAACCATGAACACCATCAATTTCGAGCAGCTGATCCCCGACTCAGTGATGAATGTCGTTCTGCGGGGACACGTGGTGTCGGCCAGCGGGCGCGTGACCACGGAGTTCACCTCCCGCGACATGTACTATGCGGTGCAGAACGATGATCTGGAGCGGGTGGCCGAGATTCTAGGTGAGTCCACTGCTCCCACGCCTCCTCTTCTGCTCTAGTGAACATTTCATTTCCCTCGGCTACTCCTCGGATAGCTGCGGACTTCAATGTGCTGACACCGATCCGGGAGTACTTGAACGGGACCTGCCTGCATCTGGTGGCCCACTCGGGCACCCTACAGATGGCCTACCTGCTGCTCTGCAAGGGGGCCAGCTCCCAGGACTTTGTCAACATCGTGGACAGCGAGCTGCGGACGGCGCTGATGTGCGCGGTCATGAACGAGAAGTGCGACATGCTCAATCTCTTCCTACAGTGCGGTGCCGATGTGGCCATTAAGGTAATCAAGGCTCTGTCTCTGCATTCTTGGGTTTTAAGCTTTAATTTGAGTCTCTTGTGTCCTCCCTCCCCGCAGGGTCCCGATGGCAAGACGAGTCTGCATATTGCCGCCAAGCTGGGGAGCGTGGAGGCCACGCAGCTGATCGTGGAGAGCTACAAGGCCTCGCGGAACATTACCAACTTCCTGAGCTTCATCGATGCCCAGGACGAGGGCGGATGGACAGCCATGGTCTGGGCTGCTGAGCTCGGACACACGGACATTGTTAGGTGAGTGAGGGCAGATTGGACCACAATATAGGGCATTCCCGTCATAATTCAAATAATTGTGCACAGCTTGCTGCTGAACCAGGGGGCGGATCCGAACATCTGCGACAACGACAACAACACGGTACTGCACTGGTCGACGCTGCACAACGATGGCCTGGACACGATCACGGTGCTGCTGCAGGCAGGGGCCGACTGTAATGTCCAGAATGTGGAGGGCGATACACCGCTGTAAGTCAGTCTCCCTCTTCCCCCTTACCCGTCTACCCGTCATTAGCAGCAGCAGGAAGAGAATAACCAAACGAAACAAATCCATAGCCACATTGCCTGCCGTCATTCGGTGACCCGAATGTGCATCGCCCTCATCGCCAATGGAGCGGATTTGATGGTGAAGAACAAGGCCGAGCAGTTGCCCTTCGACTGCATACCCAACGAAGAGTCGGAGTGCGGCCGCACCGTCGGCTTCAACATGCAGATGCGCAGCTTTCGGCCCTTGGGCCTGCGCACCCTTGTGGTGTGTGCTGACGCCTCAAACGGGCGGGAGGCGCGCCCCATTCAGGCGGTGCGCAACGAGCTGACGATGTCGGAGAACGAGGATGAAGCGGACACACTGATGTGGCCCGACTTCCGGTACATCACCAACTGCATCATCCAGCAGAACTCGGTGCAAATCGACCGTCGCGTCTCCCAGATGCGCATCTGCTCCTGCCTGGATAGCTGCAGCAGCGATCAGTGCCAATGCAATGGAGCCTCCTCACAGAACTGGTACACGGCCGAGAGCCGCCTTACGTCCGACTTCAACTACGATGACCCGGCGGTGATCTTCGAGTGCAACGATGTATGCGGCTGCAACCAGGTGAGCTCTTTCTCCGCTCTCCGATCGGGCCTGTCCTCATTCATTCTCGTTTATCATTTTGGCAGCTGTCGTGCAAGAATCGCGTGGTCCAGAACGGCACCAGAACGCCGCTGCAGATCGTGGAGTGCGAGGACCCGGCCAAGGGCTGGGGTGTACGGGCCCTGGCCAACGTCCCCAAGGGCACCTTTGTGGCTTGCTACACGGGAGAGATTCTGACCGCCCCAGAGGCAGATCGGCGCACCGATGACAGCTACTACTTCGACCTGGAGCACGGGCACTGCATCGATGCCAACTACTACGGCAACGTAACCCGCTTCTTCAACCACTCATGCGAGCCCAATGTGCTGGCCGTGCGCGTCTTCTACGAGCACCAGGACTACCGCTTCCCCAAGATCGCCTTCTTCGCCTGCCGCGACATCGATGCCGGCGAAGAGATCTGGTGAGTTTTAGCCAATTAGCCGGCCGGCCTCTACAACAGCTTCAACTCGCTAAGTTATATTTCTGTGTCACAGCTACGACTACGGAGAGAAGTTCTGGCGGACAGTGCATCGCTCCGCACTTGGCTGCAAGTGCCTGACGGACTCCTGCAAGTATGCCAACCAATCCCCAAGCACAAATGCCTCGCCTACGGAGGCGACGACTGCAGAGGCAGCTGCTGCGGAGTCGGCCGAGCCGGATACGGCTTAGACTTGACATGATTCCAGCTCCTCCTCGACAAGACCCCACCAAGGACATTGCATCACAGCACGAGAAGCTCCCAGCAGCTCCCAGAAGCTCCAGCAGCCACAACAAGAGATCGCCATATATGTATATGAATATAGATCAGCAGTGGTCGGCAGCAATACAATAACATTTATCCGCTTTGAGAACGGATCAACATACAACGGTAAAATGCTATTGTATTGCGCAGCAGCAGCGCAGCGGCAGGAGCAGCAGCATGACCCGTGCCGGTGCCGACCACTGATATAGATGCTATATGTATATATCCTTACCAATCGCATCATGAATCGAAATCAGAGGCAGCCGAGCCAGCGAACCCATCCGTTTGCAGGGCCTCTTCGACTGCCAAATGTTTCATGATTTACGCATTTTATTTAATTTTTTTTTTAAATGTAAAATGATTGTTAATTATTATTTTTGGTTGAGTTTTTTGCAATTGTTTCCATTATTTGTATCATGAATATTATTATTGTATTTTTATTATTGTAGACACAGTAACTAAACCAATAAGTGCGGAAAACTGGCACATGTGCAGGCCCCATTACAATCGCTCCCGTATCCATCCCCTGGCCCCCTATTTATGTACATATATGTATATTTCTATCTGCGGTGTGTGCGTGGCTGGAATTGTTTAATTCAGGGACTGGAGTGGAGAGAAGCGCATCTAGTCATAAAGAAGAGCGAGAGCGAGAGAGCTAGCAAGTCAGCCGGACAATACTCAGTTGTGTGGGAATCGTTTCGGAAGAAAATATGGCTTGGGCCTTAAGCCATCAAAAAGCAGCAGCAGCTACAGCTACAGCTACAGTGCGTTTCATAGCTAATCATAGTATAAATACAAGCCCCAAGACGTACAGCTGTGAACCGCATTTTACGTACGCGAGATACACGTGAATGTAACAATAATAATCTGAAGAAATTTCAAAAGCTAAAGCGAAACCATGAGAGAAGACCATTTTTTGATAGAGAACATATGAATATTGCATTGCAAAAAAAGTAGATTTATATGTGTACCAGATAAGCTGAATGAATCAAAAATGAAATAATATCTATATACCATATACCATATACCATATACCATGTAGCATATAGCATATTGTATGCAGTCTATACATACATACATATGTATATGAGCAGGGTAAAGTACTGATAGTCGTTAACAGAAAACAAAAATAGAGATAAATAAGTGATGATTGTTTTGTACATATATATTATGTATATTCATACTATGTACACGATACTTGTATTTAGCCATACTCGCACACACACACACACAATAACAGATTCGATCTGGGTTAACTGGTTTCGTGAGCGAGAAACACACCCCCCAAGCCCCCCCCCCCCCCCCCACAACATTCCTAGGCCCCAATTCCGAACCGATTCCCGATCCATATCAGATCTTTTGACAATTTGTATTTAGAGTTTTCAGTTTGCCAAGCCACAAGTGCCTCAAGGAAAACGTCCCCAATCCTACCCGCCCTACCCCACCCCGAGCCCGAACCCAGTACTACCTATACATAAATGCAACGTACATAAATATATATATATATACATATATATGTATATATGCATGTATCCGCGCGATTGCTTCAGGTTATACAGGTATCAATCGACCAAGATCACAAAAGTGCAATGCATTTTGGAGCGCACGAAAGAATTGACTATGCAAATTGTAGAATACTTATGCTGCAAAAAATACTTAATTTAAGTTCGTGCCACACCCCCGTTCCCCACACCTTCCTAAACGATCCACGTGCATGAACTGCATACATACAAACATACACACACAAGTAGATGATAGATTAGGAATTGAGTTTGTACGTTTGATGAATACATACACACATATGTAAATATGTACATCCATACATCATGTGTATGGGTATAAGCCGTATATGTTTGTATGGACAATAGGAATACGTAGTCTTAACTGTAAGTTATGAGTACTCCAGACTATCCATGTCTGCTACCCCACCACCCCCCACCCGTAACCGTACAATCGAAGGCAGGGCTTCAGAGTTCATATTCATGCATGTCCAGACATAGTCATAGCGGCCCGCCCATCCCCCCGTCTATCGCCCTCTACCCAGTCCCGCCGTAAGGTCGGGGTGCAAAGAGGACTTCTATGGCGTTCCCACTACACTCCGACCGCTCGACTGGGATTTCTATACGTATTTGTGTAACAATATATAAGCAAAGATTTTGATGTATGTACGAGTAGTTAACGGAGATCACACACATAGAAATTATAGCATAACTCACATATTTCAATTGTTATCGAACGCAGAATTTCTGCCACAGAATCTGCGATCTATTTGTTTTGTTTTTCTTGAGTTTTTATTTTTAATAGAATTACGATTCAGTTTCGAACACTTTGTACGACACGACACTGATGTAGTGGATGTTGTTTCCAAAGAAAGGCATTTTAAGAACAATTTTACGCACCTAAACTTGTATCGTTTCAAACAAATTGCTTATTCGCTGACATATGAAAATCCCTAGCAGACAGAGGCACATTTCGTTTGCAATCAACCACGATTACTGTTAAGCATAAGAACTTAAATAATTCAAATAAATAGGTTTACATTTGAGCAACAAACATTGCCGAAAGCAAACATTTCCGATTAATAAAGAATATAAATAATAAATGCCGTGTTCAAGTCACCACTTCTTTTCATGCGAGCGAACATTCAAATTTCGCGCGTGGTCAGTGTTGCTTGCAAGACAATTTTTTGAAATAACTTTAAATATGGTGTTTCCGCCCCATTTGGTGGTGCAGCTGGGCGTGGGCACCGCCGTGGAGATCTAGGATAGCCAATGCCCCTGGCAAGAAAAATGTACAAACATCATTATTTAACTCAGGGTGTTCACCCTTTTAAATAGAGGGCTTTAAGTGGGCTAATTTAATTGATTTTCTCGGTATATTTACGGTATATATTTTGAAATTGAGAAGGTATATTTCTGAGGGTCAGGCGGTATATATTATCGATAAGTCCACTGATGTTTTTGTTTTGTAATTTTGAGGTTGGAGGTTGGTTTTTGCGGTGATTTTTCCTGGAAATAGAATTTTAATGTTATTGAATCAATTTTAGCTGTGTAACTGCATTGCTTCTGCACTCCACACCCCAGTAAACTATTGCCCTGGTCACAGGGAAAGAATCGCATAACAAGCAAAACTACGACAGGAGCGAACGGGACGTGACCACACGGCCACCAAGATCCACAACAAAGCACCTCCACAATGGGTTTTCCGGACAAGGCAGAGCGGGCCAAGTGCTGGAGCACGCGCGACGAGTACTGGAAGTGCTTGGACGAAAATGCGCCTAAGCACAGCTCCACGAGCGGCGAAAAGGTACCCAACGCCTGCAAAGATTTGCGCAAGGCCTTCGAGCAGTCCTGCCCCGGCCAGTGGGTGAAACACTTTGACCGCAAGCGCACATACGAGCAGTTCAAGGAAAAGATGGCCAACGGCTACGACCCGCTGGATGAGCGTGCCACAGGCGAGAAGCCAGCGAAATAAAAGCCGGCGCCGGCATTTGTCGGGTCGGTCTCAGTCGCTCGGTTGTTACGCTGTGTTTTGTATCGTTATAGTATAGTATAAATTAAAACAAATAACAATCTATTTGTACGGACCAATCTATGGCGGGGTGACTCAAGTATTCACATATTTAAGTGCTTAATTCCGTAAATGTAATTTAAAATCTGAAATTAAACGGCAGCGGCAGTGTGTGCACACCCACCGGATTGGTCGCGCGCCGAAATGTCCTAAAAATGCCAAACGCCAGCACGTCGAGCAGTCGACAAGTGGCGTGCCAAACGCTTTTCAAACAATATAATTGGAAACGAGCAGCGCAGTCTACGTTAGCTATTAGTCGACATCGCTGAGTGATGCCAATGACATAATGGATCCCATTACTTTCGGTGTTTTAACAGGTAAGTAGCTTCCTAGTCCTTCCTAGCTGTCTCCGATAACATTTCTCATGTGTGGCAGTCAGTGACACCTGTTACAAAGACCGCTCGAAGGATCGCAGCGGTCCGCGTTTGGTGTCCGAGATTATGCAGGCCTTCAGAAATGCCCAGGTAATCGCCAGCGTTGTGCCCGACGAAAACGGCCTCATTCAGAGCGAGCTGCGCCAGTGGATCAATCGGAAGGATGTTGGCATCATCTTTACCACGGGCGGCACCGGTCTTGCCCCACGCGATGTGACCCCCGAGGCCACCAAGCCGCTGCTGGACAAGGAGTGCCCACAGTTGATGATGGCCATAACCCTGGCCTCACTGAAGAAGACCACTTTCGCGGCTCTGTCGCGTGGAGTCTGTGGCATCGCTGGCGATACACTGATCCTGAACTTCCCCGGGAGCGAAAAGGCGGTGGCCGAGTGTTTTGCAACGGTGAAGGACTTACTGCCCCATGCACTCCATCTGATCAACGACGACGTGGCCCTGGTGCAACGCACCCATGCCCAGGTGCAGGGAACAGAGACGGTGCAGGCCCAGATTCACGTCTGCCCGCACCAGACAGGATCTGGAGACGGCAGGGATCGCTACTCGCCGTTTCCCATGCTCCCCGTCTCGGTGGTCATGGATATTATATTCGGAGTGGTCCAACGCCGAATCAGCTTGGACAATGACATTTGGAAAACGACCTCGCCGGTGAATATACCGCCTTTCCGTGCCTCCATCAAGGATGGCTATGCCATGAAGTCGACTGGCTTCTCCGGCAGCAAGCGTGTCGTGGGCTTCATAGCCGCCGGTGATGCGGTAAGTATCCACATCTTGCCCAGCAGGGTCAAAAGCCCTGAACAATAAGCGTTAATCCAAACAACTTCCCTCTACAGCCCAGCGCACAGCCTCTGCAAGAGGATGAGTGCTTCAAGATAAATACAGGGGCCCCACTGCCAGACCAAGCAGACTGCGTGGTCCAGGTGGAGGACACCCTTTTGGTGAGTCGCGACAAACACGGCGAAGAGAGTCTGGTGGAGATTATGGTGGAGCCGCTGGCGGAATTGGATGTGCGGTGAGTAGTAGATTTTATCATCCATCAGAGCATCTAGAACTCAACTCACTCCAAACTGCTGCCTTCAGTCCCATTGGTCACGATTTGCGCATCCATGATGCCATTTTCCCGACTGCGGACTCGTCAGCCGTTGTCATCCAGTCTCTGCTAGCATCTGTCGGCATATCCAAGAGCCTACCCAAGCCCAAGGTGGCCGTCGTCTCCACGGGGAGCGAGCTGCTCTCGCCGGGAGAGCTGCCCGTTCCTGGCAAGGTCTACGACTCTAATGCCACGATGCTGGAGGAGCTGCTACTCTATTTTGGCTTCGACTGCGTGCGCACCGTTGTGGTGAGCGACAAGTAAGTGTTCAATCGTTCAATCGCTCCACCTGGCTGACTGACATTCATCTATGTATTCTCCTACAGCTTGGCGGACACCAAGGCCTCTCTGGTCAGCCTCTTTGAAAAGGTGGAATTTGTCATCTCCACTGGCGGCGTCTCAATGGGCGACAAGGACTTTATAAAGACAGCGCTGGAGGATCTCCAATTCAAGATCCACTGCGGCCGGGTCAACATGAAGCCAGGGTATGGAGATATTTCCTTGGCCCCATCTCCTCCGACTCTCGCACTAAAACATTCCTTTCTCCCACCACCAGCAAGCCCATGACCTTTGCCAGCAAGGAGAATATGTATTTCTTTGGGCTGCCGGGTAATCCCGTCTCGGCCTTTGTCACATTCCATCTGTTTGCCCTCCCAGCCATTCGCTGGTCCGCCGGCTGGGAGAGAACCAAGTGTCCCCTAGCGACCATCCAAGTAAAGGTACGAGTGCGCGCTACAGCCATTTAAACACATGGCGAAATTGCGGACGCTTGCTAATGACAGGCTGCTGGGTCGGGGCGGGCACAGGTGTTCATTGGATGTCCCCCGCCCGATCCACCGCCGAATTGATAGTTCTAGAACATGCGTAAATTGCTGTAGGTCGTATCTGTCGCCGCCGTAGCGTCAGAGCCCAGCCCACTTCATTCACCAGATACGTTTGCTCATGAGTGGTCTGTCTTATCGGTTTGTTTCTCAATAAGTGTTGAGGGCTGATAAGGCGAAGGTTGTTAAGTCAGCGAGCACGAGCAAGGGCCTAGTGGCCTTCTGAATACTCTTCGAAAGGCGACCCCCCCCTCGTTGACTGAATTGATTTTCTAATAGCATATGCCTTTCTCTCTTTCTCTGACAGTTGTCGCAAGACCTCAGTCTGGATCCGCGCCCGGAGTACGTCCGGGCTACGGTGACCTCCAAAAACGGCCAACTCTATGCCAGCGTCAATGGGAATCAGGTATATGCGCATTGCGCACCCTTCATCCTTCATCAGGCACCCGACTGACCCTCTATTATATTATCCCTGTGATTTACAGATCAGCAGCCGTTTGCAGAGCATTGCGGGGGCCGACGTGCTCGTCCACCTGCCGGCGCGCACCTCCGAGTGCTTCAAGGCAAGAGCCGGGGAGTCGTATCCCGCCTCCGTGCTGCGCTACGACTTCATATCAAAGTATGAGTAGTGGAAGGGTGGCACTGCCCTTCCACCGAATCCATCGATAGAACTAAGCGCACAAGAATTCCTAGACCACTCGAATGTTTTAGATTAGCACAAAGATTTATTTTCATTTTTCATTGCTCGTATCATTCAGTGCTTATGTATGTTGTCCGTCAAAAGTGCACCGTCAAAGTGTATGCGAAAACGAGTAAAAAATATATATTATTGTATATGTATGTATGTATAAAAAGCCTTCCAAAGGAAGAAATATCATTAAACAAAAAACATGGTTAGCGTTGTTAGACGACAGCAGGAGCAGGAGAAGAGACTGCAGCGGGGATACGTATGTACAGGAGGCAGCTGAAGCTAGAGACCGAGACAAAGCACGGATTTAAACGGATTGCGTCGCAGACTCGGTTGCAGCTGCCGGCCGCTGGAGACGCAACGAGGAGCGGCATGGCAACGTGAATTGATACTTGTTGTGGGTGAGAAGCGTATAGCGATCCTGTGGGGCAAAGTCCCACAGTGCCCGCTCGATCACCTGCAGGGCACTGGGACTCAGCACGTCCGCCGTATACTGAGTAGGTGCTCCGGCACTCGCCGACATCGCTATGGAGGAAATAAAGAGAATGTTAATTGATTGGAGCTGAAGGTGGAGTGTTTTAACTCACTCTGTGCCACGGGGGCCTTGTAGAGGGACTCGGCTGTCATTCCGCAGGTGTCCAGCGCCACTACACTGACGCCGTACGGCTGCAGCTCCTTGCGCAGCTCCTCGGCGCACTTGTCCACGGCCACGCGCGATGCATTGAAGGCCACCAATCCCTCGCCGCCCGTTAGCGCTGAACCCGTCCGCGTGCCGCCGGCTCCGCCCAGATAGAGGAGACGACCGCGCGTAGGCCGGAGGAAGCCCACAAAGGCCTTGGCCACACGCAGCGTGCCCAGGATGTTGGTCTTCAGCATGTGCTCCCACTGCTGCACGTCTTGCGACTCGACCCGGCCCCGGAACACGCTACCGCTGGTGTTGATCACGGCGGCGATGCCGCGCTCATCGGCGTTCAGGTGGGCGCCCATGGCCACCGTGGCCTCGCGCAGCACATCCTCTCGGGTCACATCTAGGCGCATGGGGATGATGGTGCCGGCGATGGGCTCTTCGCTGTACTCGCGGATCTTCATCCAGCCACAAAGGAGCTTGGCGGGTAGGGAATCGTGAGCCTCCTTCATGCCGGCGAAGACGCGGCACCCCTTGTTGGCCAAGTGGGTGCAAAGCTGCAGTCCCAGGGCCGTGTCCGCGCTCGTCACCAGCACCACCCGGCTCGGCTGGGCCTCCACGGTGGCCGCCTCGCTGTCCTCCCGCACCTTGCAAATTAGATAGATGAGCAGCGCCCCGGCGATCGAGAAGAGGGCCAGCAGCTGGAAGGCCAACACCAGCATGGTCATTGGCTCCATTATGACATCTCTGAAAAGACAAAAAAACGAGAAGGAACGTTAGTCGCTTCTGTGTACGCGACTCGACTCTTATACCCGTGCTCAGTCAGTATATAAAAATGTAAGCTTATGATTTATGTAGAATTTTAAAATATTTTACAAGTTACAGGGCAGAGTGTGTGAGAGTACGAAAGAGAATGAGAATGAGTATCGTGATCTCTTGCTGAAGGAGGTGGGGGAAGAAACTGAAAATTAATTCTTCATTCTGGCTATAATTATAATCCGATCTGATTCAGATTCGGCAATCTGGTAGATATGGTAATTCTCTACGATACTGCCTTTTTAGTTTTATCGTATCTTTAAAATTGTGGCTGCCACCACAAATATTCGTCCTTTGTGGTGGCGGAAGGGGGCGAGGCGAAATTTTAAAATACGTTGGTAGCAGTTTGGTATAGCATGAGTCTGGAAACAAGATTTGGTTGCTCTAGCTCTTATTGTCTCAGAGATCTAGGCGACAAACAAGACAGACATGGCTATATCGACTCGGCTATTTATGCTGATCAAGAATATATATACTTTATGGGGTCGGAAGCGTTTCCTTCTCTGCGTTGCACACATCCACTCTTACCGCAAATCTAATATACCCCTTAACTATTTTTGAGTACGGGTATAAAAATAATAATAACTATTAGACTATCTTTGCTTCTCGGTTACTACTACTCTCTAGTTGTAGTTCTCCCCCCCTTCGACGGACACATGAATGTACATATGTACATATCTACATACATATGTACATCTGCACCTAAAAAGCGGGCACTCTTCCTTATGGTGGAGCTTAGGTTTATGCTTAAGTTGTGTTACCAACATACATACATACCTATACATACATACGTATGTATACTATATACCCGTACCTATAGGCAGCATCGATATCTTATCTCTGATTTCCCTACCCTCCTTCTCAACCCAACGGACACTCCCTGGGGCTAACTCTCCCCCGTGCACAAGGTTTGTCATCTTTTCGGGGGCCTGGTTGGGTAACCAAACACTGCACTCTCCAATCTTTGGATGGCTATCGGTATGGGTATGGGTATGGGCTGCATCTGTATCTATATCCATATCCACATTCATATCCATATCCATGTCGCTCTCATGGCATTTTCACTTTAATTAATACTCGTTAAGCTGCCGACGCATCAGGTAACAACTTTACGCTTGCCTTGCAATGTTTTTCTTTCGTTTTCCACTTAATACGCTTTAATTATTGCACATTTTTCTTCAAACTTTTTACTATTTACTGTCTTGCCGCTTCTCTTCTCTTCTCCCCTCTTGCTCAACCATCTGGCTCACCATCTGCCTCCCGAAACCCTTGAAGAAATCGAAAAGTTTGCTCGGGAGGAGCGCAGGAGGGGTGAAGTGGTGGCAGAGGAGCAAGTATCTATGGTATCTATGACGCTCCACACACATGGACATGGACACGGACACGGACACGACACGAATGCGACCAGCGGAGCGTGTCCAGTGCGAGCGAGTCTTCCATGCATTTGGCAATAAATTATGTCTACGTGCCTCTCAGCTTTTCACTGCACGCGCCACCAATGGAACGCATACCATACAGTATATACGTACATACGTACGAATGCATGCACATATGTACACATGTACATAGGTGGACAATAAACCAAAGTAAAAGTTGGAGCACACTCAGCTGCAGCCGGAGCTCTCAGCTCGATGGATAGTCAGAGTCAGAGACAGAGACAGAGACGGAGTCAGCTGTGATGTACAGTATTCATAAGATCACAGCTATACTCACGCCTTCTTTAATGCTTTCGATCTAAACGAATTCTTCCTTCAGTCAGATTCAGATTCGGATCACTCTGAATTAATAGACACGGATTGCAACCGATGGCTGTTCTGCTGCCCTGAAAATTGTCTCTCAAAACATACTACGGAGTTCAAACGAAGCAGGTATCGTAATTTTCACGACATTGGGTCCGAAAATATTGGCTCTTGTCTACGCGCACCCAGAAGTTAAGATTTAGATGGAAAGTGAGCGAGAAAAATACCTGAACTTTCGGATCCAGCACCGTAAAAATTAAGTTACCTGCTTCGTTCAGTGCGTTTTGGGCGAGCATTTTTTGGTGGAATGAGAAAGCTGAGATACCGATTCTAACTGAGCGAATGGGCGAATACCGAATCCCTCCGAATCAATTCTGTTGCCTGCTCATGCAGGGCTCTACTACATGTAAGTGGGACCCGGATGGCCCCTTCCACCCGCTGGGGCCACGGATGCAGTTAGTTTCAAGCCGCTTTTGGACCCATCCAGGTTCCGGTGGCTTGGAAGCGGGATGCCTCCTGCTTGGAAAATTTCACCAATGTGCTTTGGGGCGAGGCGAGGCGAGGCAGGGAGTGCAGTGCAGTGCAGTGCAGTGAAGCAGTTGTTGCCCAGTTGACATGCGGAAATGGGGTTGGCCATACGAGTATCTGCTGCTGCGGTTGCTGCTTTTGGCAGTCGGTATTTGGGCGCGAGGAAGCGGTGGGACGGGGAGGCGGGGAAGCGGAATTGGAATCGCTTTTGGTCAAGCCACAACTGCAGCGACGGCGACGGTGCATCCGCCCCGAGTTGCGTAATTAAATAAACAATCAACGGAACCCAACCACCAGACAAACGACAGCGGCTCCAAATGATATTCGGAATGAAAGAAAGCCAGCGGAAAATATAAATTTGCAGCTGCATGGGGCCCCCAAGTCTGACACAAAAAATACTCCTAGTCTCCGCACTTTGAATCACACTGATCCAATGAACCAATGAACCTCCCATTCCATTTAATTATTTTGTTGCATATCGCTGCCTTTCCGTTAAATGGGATATTTGTGTGCCCCCGACCCACAAAATAGTGCACTACATTGGAGCTAATCGTTGCTCAGCTCCATCACCTCCACCTCCATGCCATCCTTGGTAATTATGTTGATAATCACAGAGTCGCCGGTGTATATGTCGCGCCGGGCGGCCGTGATGAAGGCATCTTTGGCGATGGCCATGGCACGCTCCTTGTTTAGGAGATCCGCATCCGCCTTTGGGGAGCCAATCTGACTGTCCAGCACCGACTGCAGCATGTCGCCGGCTGTCCCCTCAGCACGATAGACTTCGCGCTGGAAATGGCCGATGCAGTCGTAGGCGAAGACGGCCCCTTGGCCGTCCTGGTCGATGCCACCCAAAATGGGGGACACATTGTAGGGTAGATGGCGTCGCTGGTACTGGATGACGGAGAGCATCTGGGCCATGGACTCGATGCTCATGATCTTAATGTGTTCGCTCTCGTAGCCCTGCTTCTTCACCTTCAACAGATTGGTCAGCGAGACGGCGTCGCACCAGCACCCTGCGGTCGCCACCACCATCTGCTCCGACAGAGGACACAACTTTGACTGTGTCCGCGAGAGAACTGTGTAGCCGCTGCTCAGACGAGTGTCCCCGCCAATGACCACAAAGTCCTTGCCGGCAATGGCAAGAACAGTGCCTCCATTGTTCTCGTATATATCAGGCTTCTTCCCTTCGAGCGCCTTGAAAGGCATTGGCTTCGCCTTTGGCTTTCGAAGGTGGCTCATGGCGGTAAATTGCTATAAAATATTATTGTATTTGTATGCTTTGCTTTGCAAATGTTCGTGCAGCGGCGCTTGCCACAAACTGATGCCCGATTGTCAGAAGTCAGAAGTCAAAGCAAAGCCAAGTCGATATGGCACTTGATACTCGTAGAGTGAACGGATTTTCGATGAAATCAAATCATGCTCGTGAATCCTAAGCAAGAGATACGACAACATGATCCCGATCCTCCTATATGTAGCTCCTATATAAGCTGCCCAGGAATGGCTGCTGGCACGCCTATAACGACGAAATACACACAAAAAAAATCGATAGATACATATCTATGTATGTATGTTCCACAGCTGGTGCTCTTCTGCATCTCTCATGGCTCATGGCTCTCATTGCTGGACGGCTTGCATCGCCAGAAGTGGGTAGTCGTGGAGTCGCCTTGATGGCCGTCGAACGGTTGCGCAAGCGCTGGTGTGCTGCAGTTATGTCAACTGTCCGCCAGTTCTAATTACTGTCAATCAGCAGCAGCAGCAGCAGCAGCATCAGATACAATCTTGATACACCTGAGATATGCTGAGCTCAGAGTGGAGCGTTGGTCGGTCAGTCGCCGTCGCCTGACCCAAATTGAATGGCAGTCGTTGCTCTTTGGCTCAGTGCCTGCCAGTGCCAGTGCACTGCCATCGATCAATCATTCAATCACCGAATCACAGAATCACTGAATCACTGAATCATTGAATCAAGCGTGTCATTAGCCATTGGCAGTGACAGCAGCAGTTGAATGTATCAGTAATGAGCCCGGACCCGCAATTATCTCCATGGAATGAAGAGAGTCGAATGGCCCGGAATGCGGGGAACGTGCCGTGCCGTGCCGTGATCCGCACAGTGGCGTTGACTGAAGCTCCGATTAGCAGTCGCGTTCAGTGCTATAATCAACCGACAGCCAATCGGTTTATATCTTTACTTATCAGTCGATACAATATGTTGGAGATCCCAGCTGTCAGTCAACAATAGTTGGACTGTTTGTGCCCGGTATGCACAGACTCCAGGGATGCGTGTCCGACCCAAAAAGTACATAAAGTACGTACACATGTACATAAATTGTTGATCAGAATCAATAGCCGACTCGATATAGCTATGGCCGTGAGTCCTTCTTGTTTGACGCTCAGCTCTTAGAGACTGTAAGATCTGGAGATAAAAGATTTTGTGTGCAGACTCCTGTGATGGCACTGTGGTGCACTTCCTTGCCCTCCCACCTCCATTAAGGGTGGAAATTTGTGGCACCCACAATTTTAAAGATACGCTATAACCGAAAATGCATACCTTTTTAGAATCATCTTATCTCGTGAGACCCCTTCGTACTCGTAGTTTTTTCATAGAGATACTCGTACGTAGGTACATTAATGGAGATACATTTACTTGTTGGAAGAAACGGAGTACCCGGTATTCTAGTGTGGCGGCACGTCGGCCGCGACTGAACAAGTTTTGACTGGTTTTATGCTGATGTCAGGTCTCGACACTGCGCTAATTGAAATGTCACATAAAACCGCATCATTGCTTGCCCGACGATGGCCCAGACAGCGGGCCAAAATGGAATATACGAGGGACAGAGTACGAGTCTATCTATACTGAATATCTCTCTCAGATAAAGCTCTTTTGGGCGGACATGCACGGTTCAAGTATGTTTTTGTGTCCGCCAATTATGGGATAAAAAACATCCCACCACCATACCCTGCATAAATATATTTCAGCTTATATTCCATATTCAAAGATGCACAACTATTCCTGATCCCTTACTTGCTCTCAACTGGATCGCTTGGACAGAAATCTCTCTCAGAACCTGAGACCAGAGTTCGACTCAGAGCCCGATGACAATGATTTCGTCTCAGGGTGACCATTTACCAAGCTCATCGAACAGCATGCTGCGAGTATTGTTCATTGTTCTCCAAGCATCCTGCACCAAGGCCCCTGCTTATGTTGCGAGTGCGAGTACTATGTACATACACGCATGCATGCATACACATACATATGTGTGTGCTCACACACACAATACTGGCATGAGAAATATGTTAATTGCGACATTTGCTTTGCCGATTTTGCTGTGGTCAGGCAGGCATTCATCGTTTCGGTTGGAGTTTAGTTTGTGTGTTGTGTTTGCTTTGTTTTTGCCTCGTCTCGTCGCTTTTTGAACATTTTTTCTGTTAACATTCAACCCAAATATGTATGTCAGACAGTCCGGAGAGACAGACACGGACAGAGACACAGACACGGACACGGACAGGCCTGGCATCCCAATGGCGTGAGATCGATGCCCATAAGGAAGGCTCGTGCAATATTCACGACTGCGACTCTGTCTATAACCACATTACGTATACGCCGCATGGGGGCAACCAGCAACCTGTCCGCGAGCTTCATTCGATGCGATACGATCCGATCCGATGCGAGCGAATCGATTTATTCGTGGCTTGGGATTTGGAAATGGATGATTATGAATGCAGTTCGTTAAAGCTTCACCATTTTGATTAATGATTCAAGTTGATTCATGGGGAAGCAGATAAATTAAGTTATTTTCTTGGCCACTACAAACAAACCCTTAATAGTGTTGTCGAGCCATGAGATATGCAAGGAAACATTTATATTTGCTTAAGCATCATGCCATCATGCTTCCTATATTTTTCAGGAGAAAGCCATTTCATGCCCAAACTTAGTGCCGATTAACAAGCATCCATTGACCGATTTAATTTCTAAGCTTTTCTTTGTGAACCAAAAGACAGAGACAAAGACACTTCCACTCAGCAAAGCATTGAAGGCAAATTAAATAAATAAGCAAGTTCATTGTTTTTGTTAGGTGCCAACAAACTGTGACCAACCAGTGCCGACCAACATCTGATGAACCCTTCAAACCATGGATTAAAGCTGTTAATGCCAGAATTAAATCCGTAAATCTAGCTTGGCAAGCTTATTTCACAATCTGGTTATCAGCACTGAACCACCAACACCCCACCACCTTAATCCGGAAGCGAAATAGAAACATATACATACATACAGACATATGTATATACATATGTACATAGTTTACGCATGCTCTCGTTTGGCCTAAGCTTGGTTCTTAGCTTGACTTGACAGCTTTTTATCCTCTTAGTTAATCAAGTCATTCAGACAAATCTGGTGGAATACGGAGCTTGAGAAAATTCAAAACCAACCAAGCGATAAATGTGGATTTCGATTTGCGATATCCGATAGCAGCCGAAACCGAATCTGATTGTAGCTTGGCCCCTTTCTTGTCTCTGTCTTTGGCTTTGTCTCTGTCTCTGTCTTTCTTCTTTGATTTCGTTTTATTCCTTTGCTTGCACATTTTCGCCGCATTCGTGGCGCATGCAAAGCGAAATTGTTGGCTAATTGCCATAATTGAAGAATCGATCAAAGAAATCAAGACGAAAACAAAACGAACAAAAACAAAAACAAAACGACACGAGACCGAAACGAGGCAAATCGAGACTCCACTCCGGAATGGCCCCAATTAATTTGCACCTCAACGACGGTGTCTGCCCTCAGTCCCACTCCTCCCTCTTCCAGGCAGACCGCTCTCGTGTGTGTTGGTGTGTGTATGCTGTTGTTGTCCCACTCCCACTCGCTTTTACCGTAAACCGTACGATCATGTGTGGTGTGTGTGTGTGAGGTGCGGCTTGGAATCGGTTTTCGTTTCTGTTTTGGGGCATTTCTGCTGTAGTTTCATTTGTATTGGACTGTTGGCTCTTGCCTGTTGCTTTGCATTTCATGTTCAGGTGCGATCAAGATTTCTATTTCGCTTTAACACATTTCAGTCCAACTTCAAGTGCTAATTTGGCCAGAGTCCGAGCCCTGCCCTCAAGCTCCACCGCCAAAGCAAACGCCAGCGCCCCCGCCCCCGCCCCCGCCACCACGGTAGACTTAGGCTGGCCTAAATACCGAAAGATGATATTGGAAGCAGCAACAGCTACCGATCCGCATTTAAAAGGTGAAAATATGCAAAAATTGTATTTTATTTTGTTTCGCTTTTCTTTGCTTTGTTTTCTCTCTCTCCCTCCATTTCTTAGGCTATCCTTCGGTCTCTTCCTCCGAGACGCTCTGCGTGTGGGTGGCTTGAATTTCAATCATTTTTGTTTTCTGTTTTGGTATTTAGTTTCGTTTTTAATGGACTGACCAGAGCCAGCGTCAGCGCCAGTACCATCTAGCCATCCCGCTCTGGGTCCCCGAGGGAATGACATGACTGCATTCATGGGCCTGGACTGCATTGAGGTTGTTGGTTAGAAATTGCGATTCAGATTGTGATTAGTGTATGTACAAAATAGTTATGTACATGCATATGGGCTAATCCGAAAATTTTTAAGCCAAAGGCAGAAATTTAAAGTTGTCCAAAATCCAAATGTTTGTTAATGAAATAAAAGGATACATTTTCAAGCTTCAAAAGATTTGAGCAATATGGTTTCAAGGCGGTCTGTTTGTTCTTGGCAGAGGCAAACTTACACGTACCTCTTGCTTACATTTGTTCGTGTAAAAAAGGGTATTTTCCATGGTCAAAAAAGTGCGCAAAACAGTCGTTTCAGTATTGAGCGCTTAGCAAAAATTTAAAATTTGTTTAATTTTCTTTTATTTAAAACACAAATCATGCTTGTAATTTAACTAATATATATTAAAATATACACTGTGTGTAACGTCCGTAAAAGAAAATTGGTTTTTTTTATTTTAACAGAATGAGTTTTAACATTTTTGTTTTCAACAATAACTTTATAAGCAGAGTTTCTTATGAAATTTAATCTGATGAAAAAAGTCTTTATTACACATATTTTTGAAAAATACTAATGGGAAAGAGTATAACGTCCGTAACTTCATAAATACTCAAAAATTATATTTTTATATTATAAGGTGAAATGTTTCTAATGGATTTTTACCTGCTAAATCTGAATCTGGGCTTTAAATAGGTCTATAGGTAACCCCAAGCATGTTATATAATAGTAATGAAATATCTTATACTTATTTTGTGGGTAATAATCTAATAACTTCAAGGTTAAAAATATATTTTTTATTTACACAATTTGGCTTGATGGAAACAGTGTAACGCCCGTAACGTATCTTTTC